GTGGTGGTGTGGTGGTGTGGTGGGGTGGTGGGGTGGTGGTGTGGTGGTGTGGTGGCGCGGTGGCGCGGTGGCGCGGTGGTGCGGTGGTGTGGCGGTGTGGTGGGGTGGGGTGTGGTGGGGTGTGGTGGGGTGTGGTGGGGTGGGGTGGGGTGGGGTGTGGTGGGGTGGTGGGATTGTGGTATGGTGGTGTGGTGGTGTGGCAGTGTGGCGGTGTGGTGGCCCGGTGGTGTACGCTATTTGCGGCACATGAGAGTGGGCACACAACTAATTGGCAGAGCCAAAATGAGGTGCACAACCGGCAACACCGTGATACTTGATGACGCTCTTCAAGGAAGGAGATGCTTCTTAATCGGTTTTCGAAGCCTCAACGTTGGCTTCTTCCTGCACTTCTTCCCCCTCCTTTTCTGCCACTTCAAGTGCTTCCTGACAGGTCATCCTTTCCTTGAAGCCCAGCTGTCTGACGGAGCTTCCGCTGTGGCCTGCTTCAATACTGCGTCGGCTTTCTTGGCCTGCGTTTTCGAGTCTACCAAGATCTGCTCCGAAGATGATGAGTAGGGGGCTGCATGGCATAGTTCAGCCATGGACATGTATAGACTATTATGTGGATAGGATATGTGTATATGCATTCGCTGTATAAACTGATATACAAGCATTTGACGCACACATCCAAAATGTGTATGCATGACTTCGTGCCGCAGTGACCCAGATCAATGCGAAAGCGGTACCGTGCCCCTTTTTGAGCCCCCATACCATCCCATACCTGCGTGTGTCCTGCAAGCAGGCCACTTCAACGGCTTTGTTGGCTGATGCTACCCAAGCCCTAAATCCGCCACTTCCGCAGGCGAGGAGACCCTTACGACTAGCAAGTGCAGACCCCAAACATGAATCGTTGATACCGCAGCTGTTGCAATGGTATGGCGACACATGGTGCCTCGACGAGCTTGGCCACGCGGGTGCCGCACTCAGCTCGCTGGCGATGGCCCATCACTTGCTGCCATCCCAGGTGCCTTTGGAGAATGGGGTGGCATCGAGCAGCAACTGCCCGCCACCGCCTCGACGGATGCGAGCCTCCAAAAGCACGGGCGTATCACCAACATTTCCGCCGTACAGCACGCACACTTTTCCTGACCCCCAAACTCAGCTAAACACAGCTTGCAGGATGTGAGGCGTTCACAATTGTTCACACGACTGCATGCATGAGCGGTTCAGACCCAGCCTCCAACCCAGCCAGAGTGTCTCTGGCATGGGCCTTCTTGCTCTTCTCGTCAGAGCCGTTGACAGCCACCTCCACCCTTGCGTCGCTGCCGGAGGCCTCCCAAAAACACAACACGGCTGTGAGGCAGCCTCAGAAAGTGCCTACCTTCCAGCAAACGACTGCCAGGATCTCGTCGTCAGCGGGAGCATACGTCACCGTGACGACCATCCTCTCCTTTTTCTTTGCCCCGCCAAGCATAGCTTTGCGCACAAAGTCCTCCGCCAGGCCTCCAGGCAGGGCTTCCCTAGGCGCTCCCAACGTCAATACAGAAACAACACGTACATACCGGCTTTCCCTCCCCAAGAGCCTCCCATTTTCTCGGAGCCTCCATGGACGAGAAAGGCAGGAGGTAGTACAAACGAGGGGAGGTGAAATGATGCTTTGAACTCAAGATCCCTTCCACGTATCTGGAGAAGCTAACCAGGAGCGCTAATGAAAGCGTTCGCTTGCTCACGGTGCGACTGGGCGCCAGTCCTGCCCAAGAGCCCCTTCACTGACTTGACTTACCCACCACCGTGCATGTCTCCTCGATCGTTACTTCAACTTGATCTGGCGGATTTTGTTCCAATATTACACCTGTTTTAATGAGAAGTGGCAGTATGGCATTGGTTTACGGTCTAGGTTTTTGCCACCCTTCAAGTTTTGGTTGCTACCCGGGTGGTGCGGTGGTGCGGTGGTGTCGTGGTGTGGTGGCGCGTGGGGTGGTGGTGTGGGGGTGTGATGGTGTGATGATGTCGTGGTGTGGTGGCGTGGTGGGGTGGTGGTGTCGTGTGGTGGTGCGGTGGTGTGCTGGTATGGCTTCCTTGAGGCTCAAGGATGCCAGTCTTCACCAACAGCGATGTCAGCTCTTTCCCTTCCTTGCAATGAAGCATTGCAACCAGGTTCTGAGCGAGATCCAGCAAAAACAAAGTGTTACTTCCTTGTAGCCAGGCTCGTACGCTAATCCTGATAGCTTAAGCTCACAATACCTAAGATTCCAGTAACTCATGCTGACTAGATTCATAATAGCAAGGTTTGGAGTTTAAGGTCTGAGGCTTCGATTTAAAGTATGCATCGTCAGAATTTAACCGTAGTTGCGAACAAACAGCCCAAGCATAAAGAAAAGCACCCTCAGCATCTAGAAAAACACCCTCAGCATAAGGAGAAGCCATGGCGGACTGGATTCAACAACACAGCAACATAAAAATGCACAACCCCAGCATAAATACAGAAACCACAGCATAAACCCAAGAACCATGCCTGGAAGCATAAAATGAATGAACTACCTAAAAAAAAATGGCCGAGCATAAGGGAAAAAAACCTACAGCATGAAAAAAAACAAAAAAAGCAGCCCAAAAATGACAAAAGGTTCCCCCGCACAAGCTGCATCAACGTCCTGCACTGGAGTCTGCGTGGCACTGTTCTCCTGGCGAGCTGCCTACAGGCAGTCATAAAACAATAATATATTGTAATATTCATTCATATGTATCAGTAAGTGCCCCGGGTGCCCCT